AACAAATGCCACTCGTCTGTTTACGGATTCATACCGGCAAGTTGTAAGGTCTAAATTTAACAAAAGAGGGCCATGAGAGCAATGGCTGAATCACTGTCACCACGGCAACATCATCTTTCCGAAATCCAAACATGAAGCCCGTGTCAAGAGCAGCGAGGGGAACAGACTGTATTAAGGCAGCAAGTGATTTTGAATAATGTTTGCAACACATCTGCTGGGGTGTCATTGAAAAAAACGCCAGTGAAATGCTTCGATAACCTTTTGCATGGGCCATAATAACATTTACACTCTATCGTTATGAATGCACTGTTCCTCACTGGGGGGTAGAGGAAAGTATTTAGTCTGGCAGGTCAAAAGTTCTCTAAACAAGCATTAGCATTGGTCAGGGAAGTCAAGATCGCCAACATAGCAGACAGCAACCCCCCAAAAACAAAGTTCCTCATTCATCGGAGAGGTCACCAGTTTAGTTCCACAAGGTCAAGAATTCCTGAAACATTAGCATCCCATTGACCCCAGGCCTGAATCTTACTTGTAAACAAAGATTAGACGGGACTTCTAGGATTACTTTTCTAACCTAACTGTGGTGTAACTGCGTGCTTCTTCTGCAAACTCAAGGCCAGAGTGGGTCAGCAGCATGGTCAGATGGTCAGTGTCAGCCAGGCCTTTTGTTACGGCCGCTTTGTATTTGTGCATTGAATGGGAAAAGAACAACAGAATCAAATAAATCATTCAAATACAGAATCCCCCCAGCTTGTGACTCTTTCCTTAGTCACTGTGGGGGAGGGGCATGGGCAATTAGGTCAGCTCATGATTGCAAAGCTCAAATGACAGATTAATGTCATGGCAGCCAATATACATTACATCAACAAGGTGACAGCATGAGGAAAAAAGGGGCGGAAGGAGAATCGATTCCAAGCTCATATGGTTTTCAATGTTGGCATTTCTGAAGGGTATACGTCCCATGCAAAATATCCAAATCGATTATATTGGGAACTGTGGGAGATTGTGCTGCTGAGTGCTTACAGTTATCACATATATTTGATAAATATCTACACTTGCCTGCTGGCCTCTCTGTTCTGTGCTGCGTCAACTGCTGTGATTGTAGTTGTGAAAGTATTATTGTTTTTTTTCTCTTCTCTTTTTTTAAAATAATGAATGAAAACAAAACAAATGGAACGAAATGTAATCCCAAACAGAACATACGCACTGCAAGAAGTGATGAGATGTGATGTGAAGTAATATCTGCTTGCATCTAGTGGTGTTTTTTTTTGTTTTAAATATTGAGTATATTTTCACCGTCTTAAAACAAGATTTGCCAATGGAACAACACATTTATTCTTATTTCAAGAGCTGTTGCTTTATATTCTCATTCCAAGGGAGACATTTCTTGTATCTTTTTAAAACAGGATACATTTGCTTTCAAGGCATACAAAAAAGTTTAAGGCAATGTCTATTATGAATGAATGAATGAAATATTTATTTCAAAACCTGCGCACATAATTTTACAGGAAACAAGAAAACAAAAGCAAAAACACGTACATGGATTGAAAAGATTAAACTCCTAAGAGAAAGGCAAAGCACCTTTATTATTAAACTTTTGGCCACATTTAAAAGAGTATTGTAAACAAAAAATGAATGCTTTAATGAGGTGTGGTTGTTTTTATCTTAGAACTGTAAACACACTCAAATAAAGATGTTTTCTGCATAATTCAAGCACTTTGTGTCTTTCTTTTCATTGCAAAATGTAATGTGCTCAAAAGTACAATATTTGGAGTATTTTTAGATTATAATTGGCATCATATTCACAGCTCAAAAATATTTTCCATTCATCCATTCTAATTAAGCCAATTATGGCCTGTTGCAAATCCAGTGTTATCCTTGCAAATTACGATGTGTACATTGGGCTTGTTTGGAAATTCTCTGTAACCTTTTTTATTGCTGTGGTCCCATAACTCCAACCCTGGCTGAGAGATATTTGTACACTCAGTGACCGCAGTACTGAGGGGTTATGGAATAACAAGGAGCTGCATGCATTATTAATGGGCTCTGCTGTGAATCTGTTCAGAATAATAACAGCTATTTCCCGCGGTCTCATTACTGTGTGTTTTTAAAGCATGTGTTTGGTATCCATGGACACCTTGCTCACACATTCTCTTCCTCTTTTCAAACGTATTAAGATTCAGGTCAGGCGTGCCACTTGCTGTTTTTAATTTTCATTTTATCATAAGCACTTCAAGCCCGTTGCCAGTGCTTATTTGTGGTTTTGCAGCGGACCTCTTCACTCTGGCTCCTGACAGGACAGATGCCGCCATTACTCACAGCAGTAAAATGGGCATCTTCTCTGTACAATCACACACACAAGCTAATCTGCAACGGGCTTTGATCCAAATTACACATGCCTCGCTAAAATGGACTAATTGCAAACATAGCGGAATTTGAAAATATGATTTAAGTGCTATCACAGATGAGCAACAGCAGGTTTTCTTCTCAGCTAATTTGGAACAATCATTAACTTGTGTTTAAATGTGTTGGCTGCTTCAGAAATGTCTTTTTTTTCTAGGCAGCCTTTTGTGAAGATATGATAATTATTGTTTGCCTGCTTCCCTCCCCCCACCAGGCGAATTATTCAGGGGAGCTCAACAAACCCCTGGGGATGTCTTGGAAATGAAGTGATTTGGAAGATAGTAAAAAGGAGGTAGAATCCAGTGTACCAGACTGTTATTGAGACAAGTGTCGGTTACCAGCATTAACATTGTTGTACTCGCAGTGATATTCCAATCAAATACTCACGGAGCAAAAACAGCTTGATATTCTGTAACATTTGAACTGACTAGTGGAAAATACATGTGTTTAGAGGAGGTTAGGATAGCCTGTGCGTCTGCAAAATATTTTTTTTTCTTGTCATTAATGTTAAAAGTTCATAAATCAAAACAGACCTGGAGTTGTTTTTAGATCCATCCACGCTAAAATCAGGAACTTTTGGCACTTCTATCTTAAAGCTCCTGTCTCAGATTTGTTCACTGTCACTGTATCACTTCACACTTTCCTGCCTTTTAGGAAAAATGTATATTGCCTGTAAAGTAGTTTGGGTTATTTTGCAAGTGAAATTGTTTGCTTTTATTTTTTATCTCCACAAGTGGTGGGGTAGCATAGGGATAGGGCAGGCTAATAGCATGGTACTTGTTTCATCATATATTTTCTACTGAACATATTAATTCACATTCTATAACATGAAATTGTCATTTTTAATGGCCAAAATAACTAACTTAACTAATTATCAATGAACTAACTAAACTACTATAATGAACTAACTGCATTCAATATGTTATCAATGATTTCTTTCATAATAAGTCATGATGGCTGACCATATAATAAACATACTGTGTAATAGAAAAAAGTCATACAATGAATAGTTGGATTTATATTTTAATTTTGAACGGAGACACAAAGAAATATATAATACTTCATACAAAATTATGGCTACTATCGTATTAGTGATGGAATGTCTCTGGATAAGTTTTCATGGCTGAGCACAACTCATTAAACATTAAATTACTGATCCTATTGTGAGCTGGAAAATAACAAAACATGTCCAAGTTCATAACAATATGCTTTTATTCTATGCACAGTTTTCCAAAGCCGTAGGTCTGTAAGCAAATTACAAACAAAATGAATTGCTTCTATTGTAACTCATAAAAAAGTATAAAAGAGCAGAAATGCACTATGTGATATAGCAATCCACAGGTCGTTAACAATGTTTTCATTAAAGCGTCACATATTCAAACTTTACATCAGGTGATATGAAAAATGTACAACTTCAATTAGGGACTTTTGTACATCTGGCAAAATTACCCCAATGCCCAGTGAATGGACTTTGGCAGTGCAGCAAACTGACTCTGCTAAGTTCTTTGAAAACAACTGTGGTATCAAGGAGACGTAAAAATACATCCACCGCTCAGGTACTCGCCTTGATACTGAACCTTATATTTAGCACAAAATATCCCATTTGTTACACAAAATAAAACATAATTTAATGAAACATCTCCAGAAGAAGGTTGGGGTTGCCACATCTCCACAGGTACAATGGGCACATGAAACATACAGCAGATTACAGCTACATTTGATGATGTGATGACATCCATAACTCATGGTGGTGTCTGTCCTTTCAGTCTTATAGTCATGAATTCTTTTGTGTCCAGAACATCCCACATTCTCACATGTTTTAATGTGAGTTTGAGGCCAGTGTTTCATGCCTCTGATGAACAAATATGTAATGATTGTAATGGAGAAAAGTGACAGATTGAAGAAGTGAATGTCTTGGTTGTTGGTTTTGGCCGAGCAACGAGTAATTTACTGGTTTCCAACAAGTCATTCAGTCCAAAGCCTGAGCTGTTAAAATCCTTTTGTGGCATTCAAAATGTCCGCCAGCTCTACGAGACTGTCAACTTCGGACTCATAAATAAAGCTTTATTGTTAAATAAAACAGTGAAAGACACACGTCTTTCAACATATTGAGTGCCGAGTCAGTTTGGAGTCCACTAACTCAAAGACCTCACTAACAACTGCCAGGCACTGGCAGACTGGTCATAGTTCAGCCTATTTTATAGACAAAGCCAGTTCGCTCCCCCCTGTACATGAGTGCATTTTCCCCAGAACATTGTCCGTAGACACAGGGCATTTATCGCTATAACTGAAGCCTTATGACATGAATAGAAACATGAACTCTACACTCCATTATATTTTGTGATATGGCTTTTTGTGTAGAATTTATGTAACAAATTTGTCTTTGAGACAACTCTATAAACATAATTTGGATACCTTGAGACATCACATCCAGAAACTGGATGGTTGGGTCTAGCTATGTACACTCTATAGTCCTGAACAATAAACAGGTTCTTTGAACAACATTCTGAATCTTTCACACACTTTTTAAGTGCAAACGTGGAAAAGCAACATAGAGTGATGCTTTTATTCTTTGTGGTCCAGAGCTTCCTTTGGTCTCAGTAAATGCTGACCTGGGACAGGACCTGGGCATGGGCTTGGATTTGGGAGGGGTGCGCTTGTTGTTGCTGTGCAGGTTGGGGACTGCCCATGGGGGCGGAGTGCGGGGTACCAGGGGAGTGGTGTGGAGGAGAGTGGGGGCTACACTGAGCCTGATGCTGCATGTGTTGCAGTTGCTGCTGATGGTGGTAATGGTTTTGGTGGTGCAGGCTCTGCTGGTGGTGCATGTGCTGCTGCTGCTGCTGCTGCTGTAGCTGCTGTTGGAGGTGGTGCTGGAAGTGCTGCTGCTGCATCTGCTGCTGGATCTGCTGCTGGTGCATCTGCTGCTGATGCATCTGCATGGGGGGGCTCATTTGGGACACAGCTGATGACTGGCCTCCCATATGACCCATCATCTGAGGCGACATCCCAGGACTCATGTTCGGGTGGGATACTGTGACTGAGGTGACGATCTGATTGCCTCCTAGTCTCATCTGCAGAGGTTTGGGCGCGATGGCACGAGGAATGGCCTGCTGAAGCGCATGTGCGGCGGAGGGCAGGGAGGGGTGTTGGTTCAGTGGAGAAGGAAGAACCATTCCCGGGGAGAGGCTGGTAGAGGCCAGGGTCTGCTGCACCGTGCGGATCGTCTGCGCCTCTGCGGATTCGGCTGCAGCCTGTGTCACAACAACACATCTTTATGTACACACTCTTCTGACTACATTAACACTTGTTACTGAGAGTACAAATCTCTTTCACACCTTCACACACAATGGTGCAGCACAGAGGATTTGAAGTAATGAAACCAACTTTTGTGTCAAATTAACACATTTTTCATGTGAAAAGATGAAAATATTTCTCACCTTGGAAACAAGGCTGGCTCGATATGCAGCAAGGGCCTTCAAATATTCTTTCTTAGCTGCTTCAGTTTTGCTTTTGTAAACCTAGAGCAAAGATATTATTGTTAACACCTGTATAACACACATTACTAGAGAAGAAAATAGAGGTTCAATATGTACCTGCTTCTGCTCCTCTCCCAGACCATCCCACATGGAAGCAACAATCTTGGACACCTCACCAAAAGTTGCATTAGGGTTCTGGCCTTTGATGGCTGCCTGAGTGTCTCTGAAGAAAAGAGCATATGCTGACACTGGCTTCTGAGGTTCATTAGGATCCTTCTTTTTCTTCTTTTTAGGAGTCTTAGGCTTTTTGGAGGGGTCTATTGGGGCTGGTCGCTTCTCGCCAATCATCTAGAATAAATATAAATAAGTATTAGACTATGCAAACAATCACATATTTATATTTGCTTTAAATATTTTTTACCCTTGTGGTATCATCTTGATCATCTTCATTGATGGAGCTGGAAGGAGAGGGCGTGTTGGACTTGCTGGTGGGCGGTGAGGGGGATGTGTGGGCAATATTGTGTCCTCCCATATTTAGACCCAGCTGTCCATTAATTTGCGACTGGTTGATCGTGGAAAGCTGATTCCTTTGCAACATACCGTTGGTACTGTGCATGTTGATTAGTGACTTCATCACCATGGCTGGGTTAGGTGGGTATTGCCGCATATGGCCTGGTCCAACATTCTGTAAAGGAATAAAGATAACAGTGAGTAATACCAATGATATCAGGTCATTCTAATGTCAAATGTTATAAATGCTTGCTGTTATGTATTAACACTGCCAGCCAGGTCTTGCAGTTCTGAATGGTCTCTGCACTCTCTATGACACCCTGCTGTAAGAAGTGGTATCTTTTTACCACAGTGAAAATGGGGTCATTGCAGGCTACGGATTGTTATGTAGCAGATCACATGTAACCTTGTCCCTGATTCTTACTGACTCAATAATATAACAAGAGAGAGAGAAATATATATCAAAGTTATGTTTCACAAGTTGACATGAGAAATTCAGACATTTATGAAAATGTGAGACTCTATTTGATTTGCAGAAAACCAGAATTTAATTTGGTCTCTGACGTGGATGTGGTATCACGGTTTGGTTTGGTTTGCTTTGAATTAGACAAAGCAAGAACAAGACAATTTACACCTATAGCCCCTGATCAGATCCGTTTAAAAGGACCATTGCTTACACTTGCTTTTGACGGATCAGGAAAACAGGAAAACCTCAAGGCTATGATGTCATAAAGTCCTACAAGGTCCATGACACAACAAAGACTGTTTTTGTTCAGTAGTAACACAAAACAATACAACTACGCCAAGAAGACACCTTTGCTTTGACATAAATTAGCAACCCGGACAGACTAAAAAACTTAAAACAAATCATTTTGATATCATTTCAATTATAAAAACTCATCAAACATAACATTAATATACAAGCATTGACAGTACATATCATTTTGCCTGAAGATTGATCAGAGCATCAGCAGAACAGACATGGGGAGAACAGGAGCAAATGCCCCAAAAAATAATCTCTGCAGGTAAATCCATCTCATATTCAGAGGCAGCGATGCAATCTCCTCCAACATCAACAACACATCATAAAAGCCACACACCAGCTTTTATTGAAAGAACCTCATGAATACATATCTTCGGAAAATATATAAACAACATCCTTTCAACAACACAAACATATAACAACAATGCAATTCTTATCGCGCCTTATCATACGTTCTACCACATGAGACAACGTGATGTATAATTACAGTGTAACCCAAATATGAAGAGCTTTCTTGTTTAAAAAAAAAGACAAAAATGCAAACAAAGACCCTAGTTCCATATGTGCAACCCATAATCTTCCAAGTGTTATTGCGTTTTTTATTACCAGGAATGTGTTTCACTGTTTTTGCTTTTGACTAGCTGTGAACATCAAAGACATGCACACTGAGCTCATTAGCACCGGCCATCTGTATAATAACGCTTTTGTTCAATTCCAATGATGGCATTTGACTTGGAGCAATGGCCCGTTGTATCATTTGTTTTGGAATATGGTGATTTCCTCCTAAATGGGCCCCTTGGATGGTGCCATTGATGAGTGGAGTTAAAAACCACAGTTATAATCATATAAATGAACGCTAGATGGCTTCATTCACTATGCGTCATTGATTTGCAGGTGGGTAAAAAAATAAAAATGGACGCTAATGTAAGTGAATAGAACATTTGCATGTAATAGATGTATGAAGTTAACCAATGGAAAGCTCCAAAAAGGTAAATTGTGCTAAAAGAATAGGGTTGATGGTGAGCGAGAAAGTGTTTACGGATGTCTCGCCTCCAACTCATTTGCATTTTGATTACCGTATTGTCAGCAATGCTAGAACAAATCTCCAGATATTTTGAGAGTTATTATAAATCTGAAACTATGTCTTCATTTCAAGCATGCAGTGGCCAGATGTGTCTCTTTCAAAAGAAAAACAATGACAACGCTAATGCCAATATTGTCAATATTAGGAATGGTATGTTTTGTGCAAAGATTTCACTGCAGACGCTTTATAGTAATTCTCTGTTGGGGAAAAAAAATGAATGAATAAAAAATCACCTAGTTCAAAATCAAAGCAGCTTGGTGTAAAACATATTATGCATTCACAGTGTGTTCCGATAAACATCTCAACACCAATGTCAATGAAAGCAGGCCTTGGTTTGGCGTGTTTTTTAAAGATATTGGAAATTAGAATTTAAGGGGAATTTATATAAACACCGCTGCTCTGTGTACTAAGCTGTAACAGGCTGAAAAGAATGTTAACAAGTTCAATTTCCATTCAATCAATGCCAGAGCTCTTGGAAATGTTCCATGGCAGGAGAGAGGTAGAATCATCTATATGGTAATTATTAGGATGAATCCCCCAGTAACTTTCGCCAGCATGAAAGGTCATTCCTATTAAAGATAGTTTATCAGCGTCCTGCACATATTCCTTTACTTGCCGTCCAAAAGCACACACTATTTTATTTTTTTCCTCCATTTTCTGCAAGTCTGTGCTTAATCCAGATGAGAAAAATGGAATCGTGAAGGCTATAAAAGCATGAAGATAAATAGTTTTTTTCTTTGCCCTGCCCTGTCTCAGTCACATCCATCTCTAATCTCAACCCTTGACTTTAAACAAATCTGGTCACTACATTCTGCCCCGTGGTCCTTGTGTAAAACCGATGACCCATTCAACTGTTCCTCGCAATGCATTATAGGTATTTAAAAGTCTAACATGACATCATTCCATTGTGCTGGCAGCCCGAGAAAAGTAAATTAGAGAATCAATCATGCAGAAGGTCAGGCTCCGACTTCATTACAAGTATTGCATGCCTGCGTGAATATCTTTCATTTCTGACTGACCCACTATGTCAGAATCGCTGCTTGTCCGGGGAAAACATAAAAAAAAAAAAAGAACCGGAGAGAGGAAGGAAAAAAAAATCCACTCTCTTAAATTGATGCACAACTCAAGTCGGTGCTTCATGGCTTTGGCGGGAGATAAGAGGCAAGTGGAGAAAAACATGCTTTCTGCAAGAGCGGCCACACTTTCCATTTGACTGGGAATAGCTTTTGACCGTCTAAACTTATTGTATTACATTTCACACACATCAACGCACTATCAAGGCATATCAAATCTTGTGCAAAACTACAAATATCTTTTCAACCACAGGAAAAAGGCACACGATGTTGCAAAACTGCCGTATCTTCATAAGCAGTGACGCTGAGACAAGTAGAGGAGGGAGACCGAAACAGTAACATTATTTTTCATGAACATTTGCAGTATTATTGCCCAGTGCATCTAATGAGAATCTCCCTTTGTGCTACTTGGCTGAGGAAAAAAAAAGGTTCAGTGCCGGTGCAAACAAAATCCGTGCAACAATGACAACAACGATATGAACAAATTATGGCAACATTTTGAATCACACAACTGATAAGCTATCTGGCCCGCTCTCATTCTCTCAGAATCCAATCTCTGTGTTGTCTCGTGGGAATTGGAATATGTCTTGTTCCACCCATACGAGAAATACGGTTAATTTATGAGTATATTATGTACATTTATGGACTAATGCATCCCCATGTATTGCCTGCACAGCACTGCTAACAACCGTGATCTGACAAAGCCAATAAAGGAAACACACAACTAGAGCTGAACAAAATATTGATGTGTTTTTGAAGTTAATGAATTAAATCACTGTAATTGTTAACAAACTACAGCATACATGATATTCAAGACAGTTTGAGACTTCTGTGAGAATCATGCTGTCGTGATTTGACTCTGAATAACATGATTATAAGCAATGAATCCAGCTCATCTAAAAACACAAACTGAGATATATCAAGTCTTTTTTTTATCATGATGTTGATCTTTATGGCTCATAGCTTTGTAAAGCAATTTGTGCGAAAATATTTCTTACTTACAGCTTGTAAAAACCCAAATGGACTGCAAGCCATAATCATCAAAATGATAACGAACAAAGGCTTGGTGTATGTCACTCTGCTTGTAATAAGTCTGAATAAGGTGTTTTTAAGTGTGTTAAACGCCCTTTTAGAGACGGAAATTGCAAATTAGCGTTGGCTATGAATGTTGCAGTGTTTCACATGTTGATTGTATATCAAATAGATAAATACACAGGTTTCAAATTTAAGTTGAATTACAGAAAATAACCTTTTATCTGTCAGGGTTTCATCTGTATATTTAATCGCACAGAATGCAACATTATACATTATACTACCCTTAGTGATTTCAAACCGAATCATGTGTCTATTGCTCATGCTTACACACATCACAAAAACCCTCAAATGTAGCGAAGGCACCAGGTGTTTTTTTGAAATAGAACCTCAGACCCTCGCTGTGCAGGCAAGAGAAAATCGAAAAGAAATTGTGAATAAAGCAATACTGGCAGCTCTAACTCCACTACTATTTGGCACTATTGAGAGTCAATCACAAATCAGGAGGACACATGCTGTGAGACAAAAATGAGAGTCAGAAGCTTGTTAGGAGAGCAGATTAAATAAATAATGACTTCGGATTCAGGGCTTGCCAGGCACAGAGCAGCCGAAACAAAATGTATTTCTCTTTGTCGAGGCTGCTGCAGCATCTGTGGCCAATTTAGCCCACCATACGCCCAACATTATGAGAGGAATTAGCAGAACACTTGGCGACGCAATGACATGGAAAGAGCCTTTGAAAATAGCCCAGGTATATACACATCCACAGTGGAAGGATATTTCTCATTTTGTTTGTGATAAGGGACAAGGATTCTGCAGCGGTGAGCAAGTGCACTGTGAGAAAAACAAGGACAAGTGTTTGGAAAATATGAGCGTGGAGTCTTGATGAAAAATGTAATTGCAATAGTGCCTGGTTTATTTGTTTGCCCCTGCAGCCATAACAAATAACGCAGAATGTAATCATGTATATAAGGTTGTCATTCCTTTATCAGTGCGCTGACAAAATGACAAAACACCCCTCTCAGGGCTTGCGTTAATCACTGTCAGTGGGTATGGAAAGCAGCCACGACGGAGATGTTAGTTATCTCATTTAGAACTTGTACTCCCCATTCAGATGTGTCTACAGATGAACAGAATTTCCTTGGCTTTGTGGGTGCGACTTTTGGGGATCAATCCCATTTGCGGAGGGAAAATGAAAGGGCAAGACCGCTTTCATGCGCTACAATGTGCGATGGCCGATAACAGTGAGGAGCGCCATGGCGACAAAGGACAAGTCAGAAGCTACCGTGGGTTTTTAATAGAGTCCCCGCACAATCAGACACATGAGCCATGCAAATAGTGTTAAAGAGAGGAATAATGTTTGAGAATCAAATCTAATCCTCCAGCAAGTCGAGAGAACAGTCCAGAATGTAATTGTGCCGAGGTTCCGTTTCTTCCAGATGTAGAAAGCTTAACTGACCATGAAATGAAAATTCTTTAGGGCCATGCCTTCTGGGGCTCACTTACTGTACACTGCGGCGGAGATATTTTAAAAGCTGCAATTATTTTACATACCAGAAGCAGGGAAGCATGGGGAAGAGCTGTAAAAGTTTATAACCCTTTACCATATGGAATGTAAATAAATATATAACATTGCTTTCAGAGAAAAGAGGCTGAAATGTGTTTGCTTTCAACCCGGTTCTCCCTTAATGCAGTGCTATTTGTGCTTTGAAGAATTCAACATTGATACACTCTCCCCTCACTTGCGGTTGTGTCCTTTCATTTCTCTGCACCTAAATGAAGCTCTATATTTGTAATAGGTCTATGAGACAACTAGTCAGCCAGTGACATTTTCATTTTTCCTCCTCAATGCTTCTACGATTGTGGCATTTGAAAATGGCTTTCCACTCTCTGACAACACTCTCACATTTTACAGTAGCGACATGACACGACTGAATGCTACTTCTCTTTGTTTGGCCGTCCATACAGTAGGATTAGAACAAAAGCAAAAACATAATGATGACATGATGTCTGCGATTGGAGAGCAGAGAGAAAAAGCTTTGAGAATACAGAACATGTGCAGGATTAGTATGTTTTTTTCTATGACCGCGTTACAGCTACGCCATTAACCGCAATTGAATAGAAATCATAAATGCAATTATTTACATTTCTTGCAGTGAACACAATGATGATCCGAAATATTTCAGTTAGATGCCAACATCGTACAGCCCTAGTCCAGGACATGTTTTTAGTTTTTGAATCTCTTTTTTTTTTTATATAATTCTTTATATTTGAGTTTTTTTCAAATAAAACAAGCATGTAATGATGAAATATTATACACATTTAGAGCATTTAAAAGTGAATTACCATTAATCGTAATTTTTTTTTTAAGAACAGACAAAACAAATTGAATCTCTTTTTAATTTGACTGAACTATTAACACACTGCAAAAATATTAAACTGAATAAGTCTTAATCATTTTTATTTGAGTTTAGTTTCATTGATCTCAAATAGAACAAACCTAAAACATCTGAAAACAAGATAGAAAAATGGCTTGTTCAATGTGCCATACACCAAATCCCCACATCTATTTACTTCCTGGTCTTTTTAAAGATAGTGACACATATGCAGCAGCGTTTTTGCAGGAGAAACTGGAAAAGCATGAATAATGAATAGGTGCATGTTAGTGTATGCTCCTGTCTTTTTCCTTTAAACAAGATGAAGGCATTTTGTAACCTCTACACCATCTGCAAACCACGCGGATGAGATCGAGCCAGGTTGAAAAGTGCTTTCAAAATCCACACAGTAAGTAACATAATGTGGTGACAATTACTCAATGTGATCATAGGCCTTGTGTATTTTAAACAAGGCCAGATGCTGGACCAGATGTGTCCACACTTACAACAGCGAAGGTGACATTACAGTTCACTACAAGCACCATTTAGGAACTGATGAAAGGTGTCAGTGGTTTATAGTTTGAAACCACATTTTTACTTTGCAAAAACAGCAGGTCCATAAGTGCAAGTTAACTGCACCGATCTAAAGTCACTTCTGCACATTATGAATCCTGGAAAGTTCCCACGGAATGTATGGAACTTCCACACAAATACTTCAATATATGTTTAATCCAGTTGAGAAAAATTGCAACTATCTACAAATTCTATCCCTATTCTATACCAATAATAATCTGCATTTCTGTTTGCTAAAAGAAGCTTGGGTTCATTTTAAAAAGACCAATTAAAAGATTTGTAGCAACAACGCAACTGATTGATTGACCCACATTTGCACCCAGTAAACTGATGTAAATGACTTTTGAAATCACATATCATGACTACAGTCCTCTTGCTGTGTGAGGCTGTACGACACTTTACTTGTGTGTCTTAGAATTAAACTCAGCTCTATAAGTTCACAGTCAAATGTAAGCATGAGTTCGCAGCCTGAAAATGCAGTTATCTCTGCCTTTCCAAATGCCAGTTTATTGGCTTCTGTGTAAACTGAGCAGAAGCCAAAAACTCTCTCCCCTTGCTCCAAAAAGAGTTGTCTGCTTCATGCAAAAGAAAACCATACAAACTGACATCGTGTTAGGAATATTATTCTGTGATTGCACATGTATACTAAACGGTTTATCCAGCAAATGGGTATGTTTTCTTGTTCATATGGTCAAAGCTCACTTGCATAGTCTTTATTCAACACTAGTTGCAAAATAAAATAACCCTCATGTATTTACAATATTAGTTTGAAGTAGGTGATAACAAATGACATCATAATTGTTTGATTACTCAATGTTATTATGAACTATGATAACCAGAATATAATCTAATTGATATCTTATAAGAGGGTTTAGTTCACCAGACATGTCCAGAGTAAGAAAAACCTTTTTGAATGGATTCAGGCTGTTGTTGGCGTTAAAATGAGGTATGGCATCATGTCCATATTAATTCAAATTTGAGCTGAAGTTGGCTTAATGACAACGTTTTACTTTCTCACTCGCTACATGACAACCCTGTGTGGAATTTTGTGCCACGATCAAAAGCAAATGTTGGTTTAGTCAAAAAAAGTCAACAACTAGATTCAAGAGGCATGATTCAACTTTAAGGTATATAGGTCTATAGGAGGATTTTCTACTTCCGGTTGGATCATCAAGACTATTGGTCCTCCTAATTGTCAATCATTCTGGTGCTTGTAAAAAAAGACCAGAGAGTTTTTTTCAAAGAGTGGAGAGGGCGGTTCTTTCCTAAAATTGGGGATACTCCTATATACCTTTTAAGTTTGCTGGATGACAACATGAGCATCAAATTATCGCAAAGGCTAGTTTGGGTTAGCAAGACACAGGGACTGAAAAAAGCCCCAGAGATACCTGATATAGTCGTCCGATCAGTCCCCTTACCATAGATTGGCCGTTATTGCCCGGTCCTCCTTCCTGGTCCATGGCGTTGCGTGAGATGGTGATGGAGGGCAGCTCCAGACTCTGCGGGGGGAACTGCGGCAGCATGTGGCCCCTGTGATAGTGTGGGTGGTGGGACATGCCCTGGTACGAAGACATGACCTCAGACAGCCCCATTCCGGACTCTATCTCTGGAGGAGGGGTAATGGGCGGGATCTCAAACTCTTCATCTCCCAAACTGGGCGTATGGAACGTCTGTGAACAACATGAATATCATGTGTGAAAATGCAATATATACAAAAATAGTGGCTACAGACAGCTTTGTTGAATCAGTGTGCATGAGTTGGGGTAATAAACTTGTAGGGCTGCAGTCGACTCAAGACATGCCCCGTCGAGTGATTATTGACTAAAAAGGTGGATGTGGCAAAAGCTCTTGACACAACTTTCAATTTCATGCAAAAACAAGCGTTTAAGACAATGTTTTTTTGGGCTTGAATATCAAATTAAGTACTAAAATGTGAATTCATTTTGCTCCTAAACATTATATTTTTACAGATCCCCCATTTATTACTTTGTAAAAAAATAAATAAAAAAAAACTAGTCGACTAGTAAAAAGTTTCATGCTATTTCATTATGAATCGACTAATCTTTGACGGCCTCTGAACTCATCTGCATTTGTGCACCATGATGTACCATTGTGGAGGGAATAAACATGGTTTTATTTTCGTAATCTAAGTAGTGGATGCTAAAGAATAAAGTAACAATCAGGGCCCGCAGATACAGAGGCCAGGGGCTGAAGAAGAGTGCTGAAAATACAATGATCATGAGTAGTAGTGTGATGGATTTAAGAGCAAATGTTGAAAGATTATTACGCTCGGCCAAAAATGCTGCCTTCTAAATTTAAGCTTTTGGTCACGCATAATTTGCTTATGCGCTTTCTCTGAGATGAGATGTTCACCTACATGGAGCTGGTTTTCATCAGAACATTCAAGAGCCACTTGTATGTTCATATACTCACAACGAACACACACAGACTGGGTTAAAGAGAGTAAACTTCACCACAATAATCCATTCTCCTTACTCTCTATTTCTAAATGCTATGACAGCAAAACACTGTGAGCAGGCTGTAACAGATACATAGCAAGTAAGATTGTGAGGAACAATGGTGCAGTATGGGAAAATGTTGTTGTGTTGCAGCGGCAGGAGTTGTGTTAACATAATGAAGATTGACAAACCTCTTAAAGGTGTATTCCTCACAGAATTTTAACTTAAAGTACTTTAACTTAAAGTACTTCAAAAAAACATTGGGCTCAAAGCACAATAGCCTTTATCAGCAGTATGCTATAATCAAGGTAACTGATATTTTTGCTAAAGTCTGCGCTCCAAACCCAGCTGCATTAAAACCAAGGAGGCTATTCTTGGATAGCACCAACATGTACATTAACCCTTTAATGGTTTCCTCGAACATTTGGTACAATTGGTAGATCATCTTTTGAGTCACTATATCTTTGAACATGTTTGGAGCTGAAATCAAATCTCTTTGGGGCATCTCAGTTGGTTTTAGGCACTTTTACTATGAAACTGCATCTCTATGATAGGCCTATGATAATAATAATAAAAAAACGTAAACACGAAGTATTTGTGTTATTAGTGCTCCTACATCTTAGAAAATTCAATAAAGAAAAAATTACATTGCTTTCTTCAAGGAGTGAATGTTAAAGGGTTAAGAATCTACAGTTGATATTAACTATGTAATAACATCAATGTAACTAGTTTTTTTTTTCCTGATCTTTGATCAAGTTTTCAGACAAAAAGTGGCAACAAGAGGACCACCCTCACTCAGCCAATCAGCTCTCAGCCCAAAACGTCAAAAAGTGACCAACAGAGCTCTTTCTTCTGAAAACAGCATGTTGTGGTCTTGTTTTGTTTAATATTTTACATTCACAAGAGTCATTCTGTTGGGACAAAGGACATGTATTATTTATAAAGAAAGAAAAAGTAAGGTATACCCCAGCGTTGATGTTTTATTTGTTGGTTTGTCTATGTTTTTGTAATGTAACTTTGTAAAGCTCAACCTTTGAATAAAACAGGACAGTTATACAACTCAGATGGAGGCAAAACTTTTATATGAGACGCTGGGCCAGGATGGATGGGTCAGCGTCAGACCAGATAAAACTGACATGAAAACAATTGCTAAACTTGTTGCAGGAAAATAGCTGCATCTGTCTTTGTGAAAAAGTAGGAAAAGAATTGCATTATATCGGAGAGACAACAATCTGAAAGCCCACATCGTACGGTTTGCCCTGGAACAAATAAACGCACAGCTATTTTTGTGGTTAGTAAATCGTAAATACTACAATTATTTATCATCTTTGCAAAGATGAAGGAACTAAAGGTTAACAACAGATCACATGGATTTGAGTAAATATCTCAAGATTTTAGTACAGTATATTTTGGAAGATTTGTCAGTGTCAATTTTTTTTATTGAACTTGAACTACTACAATGTTTGTTTGTTCTAAAATGTGAGGAAAATATGTATAGAGTTACGGCTTCATATGACGGATTCATTTTTGAAAATATTCCTGATTAAAATGTATCTTTTAAAAAATACGGGATATCGGAAATTCTGCTATCACAATAAACGTCAGAACTATTGCCTAAGTCTATATTTTGTCCAAATCATGCAGCAACCTGGAGCATTGTTGATTTCTGCTGGTTTAGCCCCGCCTCCCTCTGGGGTATGAAATAACAGACAAGAGGCAGCACAGGGAATATGCCAACACGGCCCTTGATTAGACAGTATTGATGTCCCCTTAGCACACACACACTCCAAACTAATTCATAGCTTGTTCGGGCCAGCTGTCATGACAAGCGCTGATGAATTCCAGTAGCATAGGCAGCTAATAGACTTTTCTTTCTCTCTTTTCTTCTCCCTTCCTCCTCCCAACCAATGTTTCACTTTGCAGGGCTTGTTTCACAGCGAGAGAACGGCTGCTCTTTTTAGAAGGAGCCAAGGCTGTATTTATCACAGCCCTGGCCTCTGGCTTATAACAGCACTGAATAAATCACCTGCAGAAAAACCTTTTACTACCAGTGCACTGCTCTAATATCATGTCACAATAACGCCTTATCAGCAGCATGCAAATTAAATATAGACTCTTTAGGAAGTGAATAAAACAAAAGTGCCACAAGCCATGGGAGGAATCTTATAGGTTTAAAAAAAAGTTACGTTAAAGGTACGTTTAAGGAAAAAAACAATGTATTCTGGTATAAAATTGCTGAAATATTTAGGGATTAAAACAACATATTGATAAAAGATTTGACATGCTTGACATGGGTTAAATATTAAAGTAAATACCAAAATATTCATCCATTTTTCTCAGTGGATTTTTGCTGGAATTTTCTTGCAATATTATTTAAAATTACTGGACAAAAACAACATTTTGTAGGGCTGGGCGATATGGCAAAAAAGTAAAATCTTGATTTTATTTCCTGCTTTGGACAATTTTGATTTCAAAATCAATGTTAATTAAAGTCACCAAAGACAGACTTATTTGTTGATCTTTCTGCTCAATAGTCAAGTTTCAAAACTATATTTGATAGTTTTGAAATATGTATTAAAAAGTCTTGTACAGACTGTGTTGATACTGCAAGTATAATTGATGTGCTGCTGGAACTCTCACAATATCCTGCATTCGATTTCATGATTTTCACATTTTTCACAAATTCAATTTTTTCAAAAGCCAAATAATTGCTTAAATTCGATTCATTGCCCAGCCCCTACATTTTGTCAACTGAGAAACCACTAACTATTAATCGACTAAATTCTATAAATAGGCAGCCCTACAGAGCATATAAATGGGTCATAATGAGGATTATTCAGTTAATTGATAAACATTCACTCATTATAGGCCGACAAACGTGTCCAGCGCAGCAGCTCTATGACACAATACTGTACAGAAGGACTTGACTAAATGCCACAGGATCCTCCAGACTAGTGCAGTGTTAGATGACTAAAGTGAGAGTGGAGATGAGTGAAAGTACAGTAGGGCGCCGAAGATGCGTTCAACTAGAGTGACATTGACCTTTGAAAGAGATACAAGGGAAAATGAACTGGAAAAATGACATATCTTGGGTCTCGAGCATTTTAAATTATTCTGAATATAACACGTAAAGTGTTGATAGAGAGATTGGCAAAAATATATACTGGGACAATGTATGATTTTGCCAAAGGCTATAAATAGGAGGTTCGCACAGCAATCTGGGGAACTAATCATTATTATATTATAGACTGATATTGTCATAACTTGAAACTAAGGAAGGGAAGGTGCCAACATAAAAGACTGCAATTAAAAAGTAAATGAAGGTTAAAATAAAGTCCAGGTTAAAAATGAACTCAAAACTATACACTGGAACAGGAAATAGACTTATACAAAAAGTGATGTGTGAGAATAAAACCAGGTAAATCAAATGAACAAATCCTCATAATGACATTTGATGTTGTTTAGAATCTGGAATGTGTAAGTGTTCCATAGCCAAACATGATTTTAGTAATAAAAACATTACATATATATATAAATATAATATATGGATTTTCAGGTTTGTGATGCGCAGCAGTAATGTACACAGAAAATCCTGCAATTAGACAGTTTTGCTCGGCCGGTCTCATGCATCGTGCATTAAAATTGATCCAAGTCCAAGAGCAGTTATTCACTTGCTGCAATAACAGGCAAAAAATCCAGTATGTCTTCGGCCATATCACTTTTCACATATTGATTTAGTTCGTCTTTTCATTCATCTGCTTAATGGTTCACCATGTACCAATGCTTTTATAGTAATGGAAGTTCACTCAATTACAGTGTTTTTATAGCTGAAGAAACCCATCACGGACATGCGTTTGAGGAGTTAACATGACTGCTTTTCTTCATCATTATAGTTTGAATCTACGAGGAAGAGTTGGTTGGGGTGAGAGGGAAATCTATATCTTTGAAAAAAAAAAAAAAAACAGTCCCATATTTGCTAAAATGGCTTAAGCTTCAAGTATAGCACAACATGCGGAATTACTAAAAAAGTATAGAAACCAGATTAATATCAAGAGATCATTTTGTGTCCCACAGTGGGGAAATTTCAGTGTTGCATCAAAAGTTACAAGGACTGAGGGGCGCAGAGAACAAGAAAAATTAAATTAAATCTCTAACTCTCACATAAAAACAATTAGAGAAATGTAACTTTATACTTGTATGGTTTTGGATTTACAATCATTTATTTCTGCAGTTTATTATTCGCTTTTTAAAAACTGTATACTTTCCAATCAAATTAGCTATTTTTTTATGACCCTGAGGTTGGATTCTCACAGACGAAAGATGTTATTGTGTCCTCGCCCAAGATAATTAATCTCAGTGCTCATTCAGCCACTTTTCCTTGCCATTTTCTGCCATGATTTAGCTATACAGGGCTGCAATCCATAAAAACTGATGAATATTATCGACTGAGATGACAAACGCCATACTATGTCACAAATATAGTCTATAGCTTTACAGACAAAACATCTTTGCTCTATAATTTGAAGTCTATTGAATTAAGAGGACCTTGTAGGGACCATTGCAACTCAACAAAAATATAATGGACTCTGCAAAAGCTATTGTGTCTTTGTCACCATGATCCTTCACTCCCATTGGAAATTTCAACAAGACCATACATGTACAGTAATTGAAACGGAGGCGATGAAAAGACGTTTATCGATAAACTGGGCCTTGTACTTGGCCGCCTTACTTTTTGTTTATAATTTTCAAGAAAATGGCTTTAAAGGCAATATTCCCTCTCATTCAATAAACACGGCAATCCACAGATGCAATAAGCAAGAGTTGTTAAAGGCAGCCACATGTGATTACTGCACATAATAGACCTCAGAATCAATAGTGGCAAGAGCCGAGATCCAGTTTCAAACACGAAGACAGGGAGAGTGCAGCTGCTCGAATGACAGCCGCTCTTCATCAACATTATTTCAAATTTGGAGTCCATTTCTACATATTTATAGTTGATTACGCAGCTCTAATTGGATTGAGAGAGTAAAGTGATCCATCTGAGTGGAATACAATCTCAGTGTACAGTATCGTTTTCCCTGAGGAGAAAGCAGTGGAGGATGTATGCATTAGCTGGCACACCAAGGTCATCTTATCTCATCCTCTAAGTGCAGGAGGTAAATGATACAGCTCATGTAAAAAGGAGCAAGACCCCGCTGCCTGGAAGATTGGGATTACTTAGGAAACATATGTAAACTTTATTACAATGGCACTGAGAGGGCAACTAGCAGGTTATAAAGCAGTCCTTCCACTACAGTACTTACACAGTGGTCAGCATTTGGTCAATGTGCTAAGAGTAGGCTATTATGTTAGAGGGTTCAACGTTGTCTAAGAAGAGTAAATACATGTTGAAATAAAAAAACATGTACAATAGGTCTAATCCTCCAGCTCCGGTAGTCCTGACTAAGCCCAGCATCAACATCTGGAGATAGGTTAATGGCGACCACTGCACCTGACGCCCTAGTCGCATTTCAGGATGGGTCAAATGCAGAAGATACATTTCCTTATCAGGACAATAATGTTAATTGTTGAGGCACAGAATATGTCTATATTTGTTACTAACGTAACTTGTAAAATTAAATTGCAATCTGCCATATATAATTCTATTGCCATACATAAACCACAACCAAACCAAAATACATTCATAATTAGTCCCCAATAACATAACATTTACATTAAACACAAATGCATGCCGTAAATATGAGCATTGTGCATTTGCCAAACTGTTTATTTAGCAGCATTAGTAATTAGCTAACGATAGGTCTTACCTGCTACAGACGCAGCAGGTGCCACTGTGAGACGGTTGGAGCTCTATGAGCAAACAGTCGTTGTGTCCTTAGGCAATGACACTTGATAAAACAATTAACTAATATTCATCTTGGAACGCAACAATAAAACTGTACAGTTTGAAAGACTTTCTTTTCTGTTGCTCTTTCTAAGCACAATACCATCTGTGCCCCAACACTGGAAACAGTTGTTCCTTTTGATAAAATGCAAATGACTTTCTCCTACAAGGCTCTTCCCTCATCCTCATTCTCAAACCCTCCCCCCTTGTTCCTTTACTGGCGGAGAGTGGGCCGTCACAGCTGGGGGGCTCTCCAAGCAGCTTGTGTTAGCGTTACCCCAATGCCCTGGCCCCCTGTTGATACATGGGATCCACTCACAGCGGCAAAGATGAAGAGTTAGGCCCCTAAAATAATGTTTATGGCACTTCTATAGTGTTGATCTTTTTCAACTTTGAGTACGCACTACAAATGAGAAAAATAGATGAACTACGAATTTTAGGAGCGAGTTGAAATCATAAAGTGCAATTTTGTTTGGAATAAAATAATAGCACAGCTCTGCATTATATAAGAGTCAAGAGAAAGTTGGATGGGAATAGTCCAAAATAAAGCTGTTCTTTATCTGTAACAGCCTGTGTTATGAGGTCACACATCCCCAAATGTGCGAGAGGATGTACCAACCATAAATCTATCTATATTGTATCTTTGCAGCCTAATGGGGCTTTGCATTGGAAGACCCAGATCCATCCACAGCATCTAAACTGGAGGAGATTGGTTTGTTTGAACCACAGAGGAGCTGGGTATTTGTGGTGCACTTATCTCTAATGACAGGGTTGCTGGAGTAGGCGAAGGGGGAGTAAAATGGGTAAATTTAGCACACTATACAACCTTATACAACTCCGGACTACAGCTAAAGAGAAACACAGTGATCCTTCATATTAAGTTTCTTATATATTTCACACAACTGTAAATTGTGGTAGTAGTGCATAAAGATAAATGTATCCAGAACACATAGTTAAAGGGCATCACATTGGGAAGTTGAACGTGAAACAGTTCCTGGTGTTTCATTATAAATGGATAAAGTGAATGTCAAAATATATAAACGTGGATTTGAATATGTTCAATTTCTATGGAAAATAAATACTTTTTTTCTGAAGGATGGGAATTTTGTAAAATGGGGAATACCTAAATAAATCAATTGGTGCATGCAGCAATCACAAAACCTGGAACACACCTTTATTTTTTTAAACTAAATAGAGTCATGTTAATCTAAACCTTATAACAAGTAATTCATGCCCTTTCCATATTTACATAGTGCTTGTGAAGTAGATGAAAGACGTATACATGGGTCTATACTCACGTCAGCATTGAGCAGTGCACCGTTGGCTTCTGTCATGTTCATGTAGTTGTTGTTATTCTGGAACTGCAAAAAGAAACAGAAACAACTCAATGAGCTACAAGTCTCCACTGAAGAGTCACTACACAGTCTCAAGGGAGGACATCTGTCACTCAAACACTGCCCTTGAGCCTGTGGATGTTTACACACTGTGTTAACCCTATTCCTACTCGTCGCCTGAGTGGATCGGGCCACTTTGCCTTTATAGTGACATAGAGAGAGGCCCATTTCAGTTCATAGCAGGGTAATGAGAATCTGAGCAGACTATTCACTTCTTGTGATGGCAATTAAGAATGTGTTTGCATCACAAAGGCAAGCATCAAGATGCACTGGTCGGTTATTAACTGGAAATAACCTAAGGGAATGCTGTGGCAGTGGACTTGAAGATATATGTAAGGTAGTTATATTGTAGAATGAGGATGTCTATATAGGTTAAAAAATCCATTTCACCTCTGAGGCTGGAACACACTACACACCTTTTACACACCTGTCAGCTTTAGAAAGTTGTAGAGGGTTCGATACCGTTTAAAAAAATGTAATAATTCCGTAAAAAATTGCAACTACGCTAGCTAAATGTAATGTATGCTCATTACAAATATCTATCAGCAATACATTGAATGAATTATTTAGTAAATGCAGTAATGAGATAATGCCTGATCTCCAGATGGGAAGGTTTTCCTGATTTTTCTATGTGTGGATTTGACCATGGATTCATTGGATCTGACCAAAACACAAACTTGTCACATTGATGGCCTGTTAGCGCTCTCTGGATTCCCATAACAAACATAGAAGGAGTGAAGGAGATGGACATTTGCTTGAGTTGATATTATCAGAGGAATAGATGAGTTATTTGTGGCAGACATGAGCGATGAGGAGAGAGATGGGGTGAACAGGTGCATAGCTTTGTTTATCTGTTCTGCTCTGGTCTAAAAGTGCAAACATTCTTTTCTTTATTATTATTCTAATGTTACGGGTAGAAGCATAAGTCTTGCGTGTTGCTGTATTCGTTGCTGCAAACAGCTGAAATATGTCCAAAAAGACAATGGACAAAATCACACTAAAACTCACTTAATGAACTTTGCAAATACACAGTTCTACGTCATGGTGCTACGTCCCTTAGGACTTCGCTAGTGGGATATCACGTGACCCCCAGGTCACAGACGCCAGAGAGATCAAAATAATTTGCTCCAATCACCAGCCACCTTCCTCTATAAATGCCCCTGCACAAGGCCGCACCCCCTCTTTCACTCTGGCGCCGTTTGAGATCTACATTCGTTACCTGAGAAAGAAAGATGTCTTCTGATGCACGTCCGAGTTCCCCTTCGCCATCCGGCGTCGGACGTCGTCGTTGCTCGACCTGTCGGGGCAAGCTCCAACGCAAGGACCAGCACTCCAGCTGCTTCATGTGCCTGGGTGCGGGCCATGCGGCGTTGAGCGCCACCTGCGCCTCGTGTGTCGCTCTCCCCAGGGAGGAGAGTGAACGCAGGCGCGCGTTCTTCGCCGCTACAGCGCCCCGTCCGGACTCCTCTAAGGACGAGGAGTCTGAGATTGACTGGGCCCCCCTCGACATTCCACCTGTGCCCGCGGAGTGGGGTGACTGCGAGGACGGAGAGGTGTCGGAGGTCGGCTCTCTCCTCACGCTGGACGAGGTGGTGTCCAACCCGGAGCCGGACCGCTTCCCGCTGGACCACATGCCTGGGCTCTACGCCACGGCGGCGGCCATCATGGATGCCCCCCTGCCACCGCAACCGAACCAGAGGGTGGAGGACTTCACCTCTGGGTACGCAGCCCCTCGAGGGAGGAGGAGAGCCCAGCCCACGTTGTGCCCGCGTATGGACCCGATCGTCCATTACGCGACACGTGAGTGGCCAAAACCCCTAGCGGCCAAGAGGCCCGCTTTGGGGTATGGCATGTACTGCAACGTGCAGGACTGGTCCTGGACAGGCGGGGTCCCGGACATCGAGGACTCGGTTCGGGCGGCCCTGCACCCCTCCTCATCCGTGTGGCCCAGCACCAGACCTCTCCTTCCCTCCGAGCGGGATAGGATGTCTCTGGCTATGCATGACAGATGTTACGCCAATGCGGCTCAGGTCGTCGCGGTGGCGAACAACATGGCTTTCATCACCGGGGCCCTGGATAGGTCTCTCTCCTCTGACCAGGCACTCAGTGGAGACACCTTAGCCCAGGCGAGGACCACTTCAGCAGCGATCTTGCGCATGTGCCAAGCGCTAGCTGTCGATGGCGGCCGCTCTATGGCAGCAGCCCAGGTCGGGGCCAGACACCTCTGGCTGGGGGCGGTGAACCTCAGAGAGGCGGAGAAGAGGCAGCTGCTGGACCTGCCCATCTCCCAGACGTCGCTCTTCGGTCCGGAGATGCAGACGCTGATGACGAGGCTGGACAGCGCGGCTAAGGACTCGGCTAGCCTAGCAAAACACCTAGCTACGAGACGCGAGGCCCGCCCACCAGCGCGGAGCCGAGACAGAGGCAGGGAGCGCTCGCCTGGCAAGCGCCCCGGACCATATCCACGCTCCGTGGTCCATCGTTCCCCAGCGGCGAGACCCCCGGGCCCAGACAGGCACACGGGAGGTTCGCGGGACCAACACACCCATCGACGGCCTCCCTACGGTAGAGGAGGTCGGGGTGGTAAAAACTCTTTCAATAAAGGCCGTCCGGCATTTCACCAGTACTCGCTGTCTGAGTCTCATTTGGGGGTATGTAACATGTCAAATGATTTGAATTCTGTTTGTGTTACTTCTCGAGCATATAACGTGGCTCCGCCAGGCCTGCAGCCCCCAGAGAAGGGCGTGCAGCGCGCTGTGCAGACCACGAGCTCCGATTCACGGGTTCATGTTTTGCCCTCCCGGAGAGAGGGCAGGCGGAGGGATCTGATAAGTGCTAATGTGTGTGCTCCGGGCGCTAGCGTGTTAGCATCTCTGAGCTACAAGGCTAACACGGGGTTTCCCAATCCAGGGGCTCTCCCCCCCCTCCATGAGGCAAGAGCCAAGGGGGGGCGCAGCAGCCGTGTCACGCGTGATGAGCAGAGCTACATTGCTAACACGGGGTTTCCTAATCCAGGGGCTCTTCCCCCCCTCCATGAGGCAAGAGCCAAGGGGGGGCGCAGCAGCCGTGTCACGCGTGATGAGCAGAGCTACAATGCTAACACGGGGTTTCCCGATGCAGGGGCTCGCCCCCCCCTCCATGAGGCAAGAGCCAGGGGGGGGCGCAGCAGCAGCCGGGTCACGTGTGGTGAGCAGTCCCGTACTTATGACGTCGGACCTGCAGAACACGTGACCGCCCTCGGCGCTCACGGTGTGACGCAGGGGCCCCCCCGGCCCTTTCAGCCACCCCCCCTCCCTGCTAGGAACACCAGGAGGGGGCGGGGCCATGACGTCTCGTGTTCCAGCTCCCGTTCCGCCCCTCACAGATTTCTACGACATCTGGAAGGAGCAGGGCTTACTGTCAGATGTTTGGCTGGAGAAAACTCTGCGCAGAGGTTACGCTCTGCAATTTTTCCGAAAGCCACCACCATTCCGAGGCGTACGGGCAGTACGCTCTCAGGTACGGGGATCGACAGAGGCACTGGAAGCAGAGGTCTCCTCCCTGCTGAGTCGAGGCGCAGCAGTGGAGGTAGACCCGCAGGACGCCACCAGGGGGCTGTACTCCCCTTACTTTCTGGTGCCAAAGAAATCAGGCGGGGTGGTCCCATTCTGGATCTGCGCGTGTTAAACGAGTGCATTTCCAAACGGCAGTTTCGGATGCTGTCCACAAGGCAGCTCCTCGAGTGTGTCAGGGAAGGAGACTGGATGACATCCATAGACCTGACAGACGCATACTTCCACGTACCCATAGTGCCAGAACACAGGAGATTTCTGCGCTTCGCAGTGGGAGAGAGGAATTACGAGTATTGCCGTCTCCCTTTCGGGTACGCTCTCGCGCCTCGCACTTTTTCCAAATGTGTGGAAGCGGCTCTGGAGCCGATCAGACGTGCCGGGGTAAGAATATTGACCTATATAGACGATTGGTTAATACTGGCCCCATCCAGGGAAGTGGCCGTGAGCCACACGCAATGGGTCTTGTCCCACATACAGCGTCTGGGCTTTGTGGTGAACAGGGAGAAGAGCAAGCTGCAGCCAGCCCAACGCATGATTTACCTCGGTCTGCAGCTAGACTCTGTGATATTCCGTGCTGCATTGTCCGTGGACAGACGGACGAATATTACCCGTCTGGCCCGGGAGGTTCTGGCGGGCCCCAGAGTTCCCGCTCGGCGCCTCAGGTCCCTGCTGGGGATGATGGCAGCGGCTCATGCTGTGGTGCGGCTAGGCCTGCTCCACATGAGAAATTTTCAGAGGTGGTTCTCGCGCCTCAGGCTTCACCCCTCCCGGGACGGGGGGAGGCTGATCTGGGTTCCCCAAGGGGCAGCATCGGACATCAGGTTCTGGCTCACTCCGGGTCTACTGCGGGACGGAGTGACTCTGGCCTGCGCTGTGTCTCACGCCGAGGTGTTCACGGACGCGTCGCTCGAAGGATGGGGCGGGGTCCTCGGCCAGAGCTCTGTAGGAGGCTGCTGGTCGGACTCAGCCCGTCACATCAACCTGCTGGAGATGGAGGCAGTGCACAGAGTACTGCTGCACTTTGCCCCTCAGCTGCAGGGGAGACACGTGATGGTGCGCTCAGACAACACCACAGTGGTCTCCTATCTGAACAGGCAGGGGGGCACCAGGTCCCCCGCTCTCCATCGCATGGCGACGGTGACGCTGCTGTGGGCGGCGCTTCACCTCCTGTCTCTCAGGGCGCGCCACGTCCCGGGGGTCCGGAACGTGGGAGCCGACAGGATGTCCAGGGGGGGCCCACTCCAGGACGAGTGGGGCCTGGCCCCACGGGTAGCCGCGGAGATCTGGCGGAGGTTCGGTCGTCCAGTAGTCGACCTTTTCGCCACTGCAGAGAACGCACAGTGCCCGTCCTGGTTCGCCTTTAGGGCCGCGGACGAGCCGCCTTTAGGCGTGGACGCTCTGGCTCATTACCCATGG